GCAGATGATGCCCAAATCCTGGCGGGGGGCAGAGATGGGGTTAGGGGAGTTAGGTGCCACCTCCCCGGACATCTGGGTCCCTAATTCCCACCCCACTGGACACCTGGGTCCCACCCCGGCCCACCTGGTAGGAGGGGCTCGCAGGCGTTGGCATAGGCGGGGCTGGGGGCGTGGCCGTGGCGCAGGAAGTGATGCAGGGCCAGGCGGAGGCGGGGCCGGTTGATGGTCTCCATGACAACAGCGCGCACAGCGCGGTAGTTGGCATAGAGGTGCAGCGCCGTCAGCGCCCCCCACAGGGTGTAGGTCAGCCTGGGGGAGGGGCCCCGGTTTAGGCCCTGCCCATACTCCCCCCTGCCAGCCTCCTCCATTCCTACAATCCCCCGACCCTCCCACCACCCCTTACTGCTCACAGCCCCTTCCCAGGCTCCACCCTTCCCATGATCCCTTGCCCCTCGCACCCCACCCCTTCCCACAGTCCCTTGCAGCTCCTGGCCCCTTTGCACAATCTCCTCTGCAAGCCTCCAGCCTTCCCAAAATCCTTTGCTCCTCCCACCACTTCCCACAATTCCTTGCAGCTCCCAGCTGCTTCCCACAATCCCCTGCCAGCCACCACCCTTCCCATGACTCCTTGCCCCTCCCACTTCACTTCCAACAAACCCTTGCATGTCCCCGTCCCTTCCCACAATGCCTTGCGCCCAGGGACTCACAGCAGCCGCCCAGTGACGAGGGGCACGAGGACGAGGCTCACGAGCAGCCCGGCTAGGTTCACCAGGGTCTCCTGTGGGGTCAGGGGTCAAGGGGGGTCTGGCCCCACCCACACCCCCTTCCAGGCCCTGCCCCTACCTGGCTACCATCCTTGGCAGAGACGTCGGCCATGTTGTCGCGCCGCGCCTGGTGCTGTGTCAGTGCCGCCCGTGTGGCCCTGCCTGCCACACCTACGATGCACTGGGGGGGGGCAGGGGTTAGGATGAGCTCTGCCTCCTCCTTCCCTGTCCCTGCCCTCACACCAAACCCCACCCACCCACTCAAACCCCAACCCTTCAGGCCTGGCCACACCCCTTGTGACCAGCCCCTCCCTCCCTTTCAAGCCCCTCCTCCCTCTCCACCCAAGCCCCATCTCTTCCTATTAGGCCACACCACACCCCCATCCCAAACCCTATCCCTCCCTCATGCTAAGCCTCACCCTCTCCTTTTCAAGCCCCTCCCCCTTCTCCACTAGGCTCCACCCCTCCCCCATACCAGCTCCCACCTAGGAAGTCCCACCCCCCTGGGCCCAGGCCCCAACCCTACCTTGAAGAGGCCACTGGTGCAGAGGATGAGAGTGAAGCATGCTGGGAAGACCGGGGCCACAATTTCCATGAAGATGGCGACGTCATTGAGAATGTCAGCAAATAACCTATGGCAGGGGGCAGGGGGTGGCACCAGGAGGGTCAGAGGTCAAGGGTGGGGGTCCCAGGAAGTCGGAGGGGGGCTCAAATGGTACGGACACGGTCAAAGGGCGGCTTGCCAATAATCATATCAGGGGGGCGGGGGGGCAGAGGGAAAAGGTTACTCAGGTGAAGCAAGGGTCACGAGCTGCCTAAAAGCAAGGGCAAAGGGCAAAGGTCACACAACACAAGGGCCAGAAGGGAGGAGACGGGGTGAAAGGTCACGTGGCTAGTCGGGGGGCAAAGGTCACACAAGGGGGGTGTCCAAGGGACCAGGGCAGAGTCAATGGTCACATGACACTGGGGTCAGCGGTCGGGGCGGCTTACCTCCACTGCTTGGCCTCACAGTCCAGCTGGCTCCTGGGGGGAGGGGTGAAATATGAGAGGGGGCTCAGTCCCAGCCCCTGCCCCTGCCCCTCCCCCACCCCAGGGTGCCCAGGGGAGGGTGGGGGGACCCCGAAATTGGGGAGCAGCGGGGGGGCTCACCCCTTCATCCAAGCGAAGACAATGCGGCCCAGCATGCCCGTCCCATCTGCCTGGCACAGGGCAGGGGCCAGGGGTCAGCCCGGGGGAGAGAGAGGAGTCAGGACCAGCGGTGGTCACAACTGGGACCAGTATAGCAGGTGACTGGGGCCTATGTGAGGGAGCAGCCCAGCCCAGCACAGCACAGCAACTGGGACCAGTAATGCTAGGAAACTGGGATGAATGTGGCCAAGGAACTGGGACCAGCGTGGCTAGGAAACCGAGACCAGTAAGGTTAGGGAACTGGGACCAAAACTGCAGGCGACTGAGACCTACATGATGGAGCAATCCAGCCCAGTCCAGCAGAGCAACTGGGACGAGCAAGGCTGAGAAACTGGGGCCAGTATGTCCAAGCAGCTGGGAGCAGTATAAGCAGGGACCCGAGAGCTCCATTAGCAGGGAGCTGGGCCCAGTACGGTGGGGGGACTGGGAGCTCTGTGCCGCGGGAGCCCAGACCAGCGCGGCCTGGCCGGGAGCAGTGGGGAGGCACTGACCTTTGAGGATCCAGGTGGTGGTTGCGGCGGCCACGGAGGCGTCCCGGTCGCCGACGCCGACCCCGCGCAGCACGGCCTGGGTGGCCAGCGCCCCC